AAAGATAGGACAACTATCGACTCATTCCATGACGTTGGTACGCTCTCTAGTTCCCAGACCTTTGTGAACACAGTCAGTTCCTTAGCTACAAAGTCACCACCATCTTTAAAAAGAGCTGGAGGTAAGTTATCGAGGCCCGATGATTTGTAGTGCTTCAAGATTTGGAGTTCCTTGCGGACTTCCGCCTCATTTGGTGGATCAGTCGTCACCGGCCATGGAGGGCAGGACAGTCTGACCGATGTTGCCGGAGCAGCAGGCCATTTGAAATGCCCTTCGAAGAATTCTACCCATCGTCCAAGACGTCGATGGATGTTAGTGATTGGCATCCCATCATCCTCACAGATTGTTTCGCTCACATCAGTGTTCTTGCTGCCAGTGACTCGGATGAGTTGGGAGAGCTTCCGGTAATTACCAGATGCAGCTGCTGCTCCCAGCTCATTAGCACGCTCCGACTAACAAGTTTCTCGGTTCTTACGCAAGCTCTGCCCAATTTCCTTATGTAACATCCTTCGTTTGTGGTCAAACTCACGGTCATTCGCAGTAGACCGACGGGCTTCAATGAGTTGTAAAGAATCAGAAGAAACCCAGTGCTTATAAGCTGGACGTTTAGCGAAGCCTCAAGCGGCTTTACCCTCCATTTTTATGGCGTCATGCAATTGCAACCAACGCTCATCTATACTTTTCGGTTTGAATGGTGCACGTGGTTTCAGAAAAACTGCTTCAGTACTCATATTCGGTGGTAGCATACAATTTTCAACCAGGCAGTGACTCGAGAACGTTCAGATAGAACCGAGTTTCCACCATAGACGAGCTTCTGTATAAGTCGAAAAATAAGGATACATAAAGTGGAAATAAAAGAGAGTGAATAAATGACGTAGTAAATAATAATAATTATTATTATAATGTGAATCGTTTGACTGTTAATCGAAGGAAAAATAGTATTTTCCGTAAGCATCGTCATTTCATTCTGTTTGTGTGTGGGATGTGATACTGTCCGGGCGCCCAGACCGAAGCTGGTGGTTTTCTTAGGGAGCCACACCCCGAGCCTTTGATCTAAAGGTCTGACCCACAAGGCAGTAGAGCATCGTGAGGAGATGCAGTCCCATGGTAGCCGGTGACCAACGATTGATTCATATGCCATTTGTTCCCTCAGGATACTGGAGCCCATGTGCACCGACAAGATGATGATGGTATATTCAGGTGGAAGTGTAGTTAATGCTTTGTATGTACCGACGACTACTACAGACTTAACTAACAATCTAGCATCGCTTCAGCAGCTAGTTAATCTCACCTTGAATTTATTCGATCAATATAATAGCATTTTGAAATCTATTTTCTTAAAAAGTTCATTTTGTTACACCCAGCAAGAAAATAGTTGTGATTCAAAAAGGCGTATAAATTCACTGGTTATGTAAAATCTTTCCACAAAATATATAAACATTCAATAAAGGTGGTCAGGTGTTACAACAATCCTTCTCTACTTACTAAATATACATATGTACACCAAAACACTGTTAAACAATAAAGAACTAAGAAACTTTTTGGAATTATTAAAGTAATAATGGTGTATATATACACTTCAATACTTCAAGTTTGATAATCGCTAGGAAATAACCATACTACTAGGACTACTGCTCATGAGTTAAATTGTTTGAATCAATATTAAGATTTATAATTAGCAATTGATACTCTAGTGTTAAATTCATCAATACAGAAAGTAGATTAAAAATTGAATATAAAATAGTAATAACAAAATGAAAATTTTTTACTACATTAAGTAATAATTTGATTTTTAAAAATAAATAAAAGTGGCTTATTCTATGCTTATCCCTTTGCTCACTACATAGTAGCTCATATGATTTATGTATACACTTTGTTGTTCAATTAGGAACTTTCTAATCAAATATATGTCCATGTTTATATTTCACACTAAGCAAACCTTACTATTTATCTTCATAGTAATTGATTGTCTTATTTGTTTCAACATATTTTCAATTGGATAAATTCACATGTTATAGAAATTCAACAAAGGCTCACTTCATTTTTAATATCCATTTTCAATAAACAGGTGGTTAGATGTAGATTGATACAACAATAATTTGATTATCATCGCCTTGTTAATTTTTTGTTACACTTGTAAATTATTATAATTTTTCTTAAAAGTTACACCATATTAATTTTGCCAAGTCTATATGCAGTCTCAAAAAGGATGGAATGCTCATCGTTGATTCTTGTTTTCTCCGCTAGTTCACTTCAGTTAGAACATACACCTTCAACCCCCCCCAACTGTTGCGTAGGTAAAATGGTTGTGAATGATAACAGACCGTTAATGTTAAAACTAAGTGGTCTGTACACAAATCATGCGTTATAATATATATATATATATATATATATATATATATATATATATATATATATATATATATAGTTGAAGTGAGTCTTCCGATTCCAGTGCTAACCACTATCCGAAATATAATAAATAATTTTTAGTTCAATGAAGTGGCTTTTTAGTGTAGATCGCATTAATGTATCTTGGTAAGCTATTACAGTAATACTCCTTGAATACCACCAATTATATAGTAGATAAAATTGCATATCAGTGTTTTAAACTTTAACAGATTTCAAAATAGATGACAGTAATTAAAATTGGAGCTCCTAAGACATATTCACAACTAATTCTTTAAACAGTAACTTAAATAATATACTGCTGAAATGATGAAGTTTTTTAGCTGTAGTTAATATATTTGCCATTGTTGGCTTCACGGCTCGTCAGTTTAGTTATAAATTTTTTGTGGTTGTTCTGGATAACAATTTCAGTGCCTATTTCAAACAGAGGAGTGTAATTTATAATTACTCCGCAAGTATCGTATCATTTTCTTCTGATCAACCAATTACTGACTGATTGTTTTCACATAGACTCATCACTTGTGGCTTAATTCCTAATATTCTGTTCTATTTCAAATAAGTTCTAATTGTTTCCAGAACTACAATTAAACTTCTGAAGTCGGAAGATACATCATTGGCGAATAGTTCGTCTATGTTATCTTGGTGACTTTTGCCGACTAAACACTACAACGCGTGCGCTAATTTGTTATGCAACTGAATATATTTGTGCATTGTGTCTCATTTTATATATTCATAACTGTTCTGTAGAAAGGTATTATAGCATGTTTTCCGTATTATTAATGTTCTGAAATCTCAAAGGAACTTGACTTCTCTCAGAGATTTGAATTCATCGTTTAACATTTCAATCAGTAAACTATACAAAATTAAACTAATCCCTTTATATTACCATATTTTGATGTATAATATGAGTTTGATCATTGATAGAATCCTCTTAGCTTCTTTTTGTTTAAAATCAATAGTTGAACTGGTTAAAAACTGTTGTGAATTAATCCACTAAAACAGTTTCATTTATTTTATATTATTTAATGACAAATATTATACATCAATTTGTTCATCGAAAGCATAAATTTTAATCAGTTTATAAACACACTTTTTATTACAGTCTATTCTACCCATTGTTAATATGAGAATATTTAATCGTAAAAGTTATTCCATAGATATTGCAGTGTTTATTACTAAAAGTGCAAAAATTAGATTCATGCAATTAGTTCCTTTTATGGATTGAAATAAGGCCTTATTTAAATTAGATTCAGTAAAACATTAGCTTTAGGAGTAAAGAATATTTAATTGAGTACATCATTTACAAATAAAGTTTATATTACATTAAAATGTTTATCATTGGAATTTTTTAAATAAGAAGAAATACCACTCAACAAAGGTTGTCAATAATCCTTAAAATCAAAAGATAAGTATTGTTTTAAACAATTACATAATCTTGTAAATGTGTCCACACTTAATTAATAACCCAGTCAAAGATATTTCAACTAAGTTACCGCTGTTTTAAACAAATCAAAAGTAATAAGGATCTCTGACATAAAATGTAGACCTGTGAATTGATTTTTTTTCAGTGTTTGCTTAATATAATGATAATTACTTTCAACCATAAAATATATCTGCCATTCCTGTGGTTGACAGATATGTTATAAGACGTTTTCAAACTGACAGGCATCAATAGGATAAAGCTTAGTACAGACATATGTTAACCCAAGTGGCCATACCTCATTAGCACGACGAGATAATCACAAAACGGATCAAAATAGTGTAGTAGTAGTAGTAGTAGTAATGTTAACAAGAAATACTAAACCTTAGTAATATGGCTTGAAAAGACTGGAAATGTTTGCATGAATGAATACTGGAATTCAATATCGGAAAGTAAGATAAAGAGTGAATGCATCTGCATTGTTGTGAATGACTCTCAGCCATGTTAATCAAATTCTCCAACCATTGGTTACGATGCCCACGTGGACCCAAACCAGATGGTCTGCATCTGTTAAGATTGCTTAGACCAACAGTCAATGACTGATCCCACTTCTAAGTTTGCCCACCCCCAACTTTCTTCCAACCTATATGTATTAAAGTTGATTTTCCAACAGGTGTGATTAAGAGTCTAATATACAGTAAAACAACTATTTAATTATTGGATCACATTAAATTAACCTGAACATTTATCAGCTATTCGTTTGTCAATGCTATATTGACAGAAATCCTAATACTTACGCTTTCCGCAATCGAATAGAAGCATATATTCACAGCCTTGATAGATTAAATAAATACTTGCTTTCAAATCTTAGCATCACTTACCATTTCGTCTTCTATATTTACACAAAAATATACCGCTAAATCTATCCCATTCCTTGAAGTGAAGTCATCCAGAGGAAGGACTTATGTTCATTTATCCTAATAACCTCTATTTGAAAGTCTAATTTCCAGTTTGTTGCTAAGTAATTAATTATTTCGTGCAGTGTCAATAGCTTATAATTTTGTTTTCACTGTGATCAAATCATCTGACGTCAACGTCTGTGCAAAATATACTATATCACGTTCGGATCTTTTACTAAAATTTCAATCGTCTTTTCTTTAATTGATGTATTTAGTACGGCCCCAGATGCTGGAATTACACAAATTTTAGCCCAACTTTATGAAGCTTCCAAAAGATTGCACGAAGCCTCAACCAATACTAAAGACCCAGATACTTTAGTTGTCAAACCGCCTCCTAGATCGAATTCTGCTCCTAGTACTTACTCAAGAAATGATCAAAACAGTTATTTGTCAGCTAGTTTAACTGACCCTCTCTCAGCAAATCAATTTCTTGCACAGGACCAATGGCAAGATCCTAAGCAGTCTAGAGTGGATAATTCATACGAAACGGAAAGAAATATTAGAATCAAAGTAAGCTCATTATGATATTGATCACATCATTATGTATCAGACAATTGGAATGCAATTGTCTTCAAAATCTAGTTCTTGTCTTATATCCTAAAGCAATTTGTACGCATTTGTATCTGTGAATATTCCAATTTACTTTTGAAATGCTATCATATATTTCGAAACTAACTTATGTTATTATTCCTTCGTAATATGGTATAATGTTTCTTCCCCTTGATATAACCATATTTTGCATACAATTTAACACGAGAAATATTTCAAAGTTAAAATAATTTTAGTGAAACAAATTTTATCATTAAAACAATGATAATAGTTCTCAATCGGTTTTATTACACTTTGATGTCATTATAACTTGAGAAAATACCTTCCTTATTCAATGTATTCTTGTTAATTTATATAGTTTTATGACTGTACAATTATTGGAAATGTTACTTTTGATACATAAATTGAACATCAATTGTAACTCATCATTTTTATCTTCGACCATGTTTATACATGTATATGATCATTCAGTGAATGATTCATAGCCTTATCTTAATCGAAGCTGCACAAATTCAACTTTCTGATCATCACTGATACACTCAAAGGTACTAAATATGTTTGCAATTCCTGATTTTAATTCTGTAACACAGTTAACATTAAATTAGTTACTGAAATTAATCCAAACATCTTGGTTATATTTATTGTTTATAAAAGCGTTGGCGGAAATATGTTTACATAATGAACTTACACAAAATTCATAATTGTAAATGAAACTATCACGAATTGAACTGACCGTCATCATGGACTGAGATTAGCGTGAATACTACAGAAAAGCAGGTCTATTTAAGTGTGAAGCCAGTGATCCATATATCTAACTTCTGTCAATTTATAACATAGCACAACCATTATCTAATTTCATCAATCACATTTGTCTCAATTACGATCTGCTAATTAGTGGCAAGTTGTGGAAGGTGAATATCTGAAGTTTTATTAGGAAATTGTGATTAGTGACGTTCAAAATTGGGACAGATACAACCAATGACATTGAGAAACAATCGCGGTTTACCGCTAATTGATTGGAGTTGCGAATATCGACTGTTCTGTTCCAAGTCAATGTTCTTAAGGTTAAGTGTTCATCATGGGTTGAATCGTGTGGCGTCTTGAGTATACAATACTAAAGAGCCTCAGACTGTGACGAAACAAGCTGTCCAGTACATACTTTAAATTCAACTTCTCTGCGCAGACCATCGAACTAGATTAGTATTTTTAATCTTAGATATTTAAATTTTCTAATACGTAATAGAGAATGTAACTGGTTGTTTTTGCAACAAAAAATAAATTATATAATCTGTTTTATTCAGTTATCTCCATTTACAGATTTTTAAAACACAAAAACATCGTATTTCATAGCTTTTTACCTGTAAATATCTACACCTTATACCAATACTCCGTTTATCACATAGATTACTTTGACTTGTTTCCTTCATTTTGTAGAGTGGAAGTGGAAATCAACCGAATACTTTACAATATCCAGATGATTCTCTATCCCAAACTTACGAGCAGTCATCGAGTCGATTCAATAATATGTTTACTGACGACAATCAAAGTAAAAACGATCCTCGTATGTACGGTTCTGTTATGAATGCTGATACTAAAAGAACAGGAATTAATCAAGGTACAGATTCAAATAGGTACTATGATCGAAAATCTGCACAACAATGGTCACAGAAATCTAGTGGGCGCAATAATTGGGGTAATGTTGATCATCAAAGAAATAAATGGAAATCTAGTGGTTCCACAGACTTCAACATACCAATTTTTCAAGAACTCACAACCGAATTGGGACAGTTAACAACGGAAATGACGACAACAACAACTATGACGATGACGTTTTCTCCAACTACTGTTACAGCTTCCGCTGTGTTACTAACTAATGCCACGAGATTAGTTACAACATCAAGTGCATTAGAAAAACCAAGTGATTTGTCATCACTGGAAGTGAAGGATATTGTTACAGAAAGTGTTACAAGACAAACACCTCTTACTGTCCGGACAGATTCTGCATTAGATAGGCATCCACAAACTACAACACAACGTTACATAGACCCAACGTTGAAATCAGGCACATACACGGAATCACTTTTACCGTCAACTGACCAATCAAGCAATATTGGATTTTTGCCAGACGATGAGGACAATACTCAAGTGATCTCAAGACAAATGCCTTATCAAACACCTGGTTCTCAAAATATTAATTCTTGGCATCAAACCTCTGAGGTTTCTCAACGTTTTGGCGAAGTGAGTTTTTGAATGTTTGAATATCGAAGACAACACTTATACAGTTTATTCTCTTTCATTCCTTATGACAGATCACGAGACAGTAAAAGTGTATTCTGTGTACTTTAGCTTATAATATTTATCTATGTGGTGCATATGATTTCGATACAACTGTTCGTTCTGTTCCAGCATCTTTATCCTGGACTATTATAAATTGTCTGTAAAATATTAATAGGTTTCATAAGATCAGTATTTTAACTTGGCGACCGACCAAGTCGATTAAGGTCATGACATCTAATATTTCAGTAGTCAAGTACTGAATGTTTTTCTATTGATCTATGAGTACCAATAAACCCTTCACTTTGTAACAAGTTTGATATTACTAAGTTAAAATACGTTTTGTCTATATGGTATAATGTATATTTTTAAAACTAGCTACGTTAAACTTCTAATGTAGTATTCTTTTTATGTGTAACCATATATATATATATATATATATATCGCTAACAAAATTTGGCAACTTTCCTTTGAATATTTTTCAATTATTATTAGCGACTTGTGTGGTATACAGAATACGTTATTATATAAGGCTTATTCGTAAACAACATGTCGCTTATTGAACAGTCTTTAAGTTTCATTTATTTTTGCACATTTAGTAGTCTTAAACTTAGAAGCTGGTTTTCGTGGAATCTATCTACGTGTAAGTGATTCAGCTATCCACCTGGAAATCTGAATTATGTGATTATACAGTAAAATACTATAGACATTGTTCAACATGCTTCTTACGTACAATATAGTACGAAATATAATATTGTCTTCCCATTCTAATTAGTCAGAATCTGAATAGGAAAACTTATCTACCTAAATGTTGTGTAAATTTCACCAGTGCAATAAAAAATAATGTGAATGAATAGCTAGCAATCACAACAATCTGTTACCTCAAAATGTTAAACTAAGATGCTTCTCGAAGTTCTAGGTCTTTTGGTTAAAAGACAAGATTAAAGCAGTTGTGCTACCCTGCCGTATTTTACATTGCTAAGCTTATAATTCAAAGTAGCGAATGATACTACAAGTAAACGTAACCGCTCATAGATGCATCACAAATTAAACTAGTTACCAAGGATTTCACTGGTTCCGGAACATACGTTTATTAGATACCATATCACGTGACCTGATGCACTGCTTTATTTTTATTTATAGGGCTCCGGAAATCGAGGCAGTGGTAAAGCACCACCAGTCCTTACACCACAATATCAAGGGTCCAGAGATTTATGGCCACAGTCCGGCAGAGAATCGGCAATCCCCAACGCCGCAGATACGCGTTACACTGAAGACTTTATTGGTCCCCAACCAGACAAAAATTTAGCTTTCTATCCAAGCACGCAAGAGCCAGAAAATCGAGGGGATGAAGAAGCTTGGAACGTTTCTCCCGATAAGTTAGCTTCAGGGTTTCTGGAAGGAGTTAGTGGAATGGGCCCCAACATAGAGTGGAATGAGGACAAAAACGATCACCACAGTAAGTGTCTTAAACCTGTTGTGATACACATAATTTGGGATGAACTTAGTATCTGTTAATTCTTCAAACAAACAAACTACTTTTGTTTTGTTTGCTCGTTATTATAGGAGCAGATAATTTTCATGTCCAGTTATTTATTATTTCGCACGTAGGGCCAATGACTTAATTAACAATCATTTGGCATCCAACGAACAACAACTGAAACCTTAACCCGTATCGGAACTTGAGTTTCTTTAGACCAATGTCCAAGACGAAGTTGTCAAACAAACCTTTTCTCTGTTGTTCATCAGTTTGTTGTGTGACTCAATTCGCACATTAATATAGAGAAAGTTCTTAACCACACATCAACATAAATTGGAAATCACAGTGTGCGTAGAATTACTCCATAAGTGAAAGATTTGTAATTTTTTAACATTAACTTAAGAAAGGCAATAATAATTTAAACCTTGAACGGAGAACATGAGCATGAAATAATCTGAATGCCTAATAATTAATTCAAAGCTCTCTCATGATGTATCCTGTTACAACAATATCAGTTTCCAATTTTTGTTAATCTGAACTGAGTTTTTTTTCATTTCAGCAGGCTCGTCACAGTGGCAAGGTGCATCGGGAAGTAGTAGGAGTGGCAACACAGTTCCTGAGGATACACCCATACTGCATCCCCCAACTCAGCCAACGCAACCACCTATCCCACCGCGGGTCGATAATATTCCGGAGACCCTTCCACAACCACCCCTGCCACCTCCAGAAGTGTGGGTACCAGCAAAGTTAAGCCCCGGACAGCCGGTGCCACCCATATTGCTAATACGAGAATATAGTGTTGAAGGTCCCCTATACGAAAAGGAAGACACTGTCTCTCAAACCTACAACTCAGCATCCCACCAACAGTTAATCACGTCTATATTTTTACCTCTAATCATTATATTTATCCTTTAAACAGAACAATGACTTTCTCAGTTACATTTTCTTGAAATGTACATAGGCACATTTGATAGCCTTTGCTCAAAATGTATTTACATGTATCTTGTTAACATTTTGAATTGCTTGTGTTCTCTTAATATTCATTTTTACTCCATCGATCTAAAGCTTTGCATTTATACAAGGTCACATGTTTAAAAATATATATCCTACACAGACCTAAACTCGCATTTACATCTTTTTCAGAGGAACTAAGCATTAAATAAAGGTGACTTGGCGTAACAAAATCATTCTTTGCATTTGAAAAAAAAGAAAGACGTCATTAGTATAATATAATGAGGTTATATTTCGACGTTTGTTAAAGGGTCTTCTGATGCAACTGTGGAAGCTCCATTTATAGGAACCCACGGTTTATTTGAATCCAGAACACAACGGAAGATCAGTGGACCAAGTCCAAACCAACTTAGGGAGTTAGGACATTGAAGCCTTAGGCGGTGCACAGCAATCTGACCTTCAAAGTATGTTGCAGGTTCTTGCTCAGGTGTTGTGGACCTAGCTCGAATTTCTTCAGATGTTATTTGCGTATTCACAAAAGCTGGGCGAACGTACGGGAAAGGATCTATGGTCAGGTAACCCCTTTCTGGGTTGAATACGTTAGTTATTTCATCTGAACCTACACAGTCTAGGCGTAAAAGTCTTAACGCAGGAACAGGTCCACGTGCTTTCCAACTTATACGAGCAGGATTTATTTGGTTAGTTTTGATATTGAAGATAACACCCAAAATAGCAGGTTGTGATTTTCCACCACTAGAGCTAAGGATGTTATTTTCACCGACACAGCATACCCCAAGTTCATAATTGTGATCACTACATATTAGTGATGAAAGTATTTCAACTAGTACAGAATGTGAAATGTTTCGTGGATCTGGAAAACCCCCGACTATGTGGACTGTGACATTAACACTTTCTTTTGAAAAGAAGAAACGTTCGGAATTTCTGAAAAATGACCTGGCGCGCAATGGAGTATCCAGATGTCCTATCGAACAACCAACCGGACAACGTAAGACGACAATGTAACAGGACGTTGCATCATCAGAAGTTGTGTATTCTGGAATGATATTGTTTGCAGGTACATTGGTGACCAGTAGTGGTATAGTGGCCATTTCACCTTGATGGACGTAAACTGAAGAAAGACAATCCTTAACGTCGATTAACTCCCTTTTTTTGAAATCATCCGCGATACTCTTAATGAATGGACTTGTAGAGAACAATTGAGCGAATACGTATATCGACGACTTTTCGCAATTATATCTCTTCCCATCGAAATTAAGCACCATTCACTCTTCAAGCAACCTAAAACTAATGTTGAATAGAACATCAGTAATAATCTAAAGCGATAAAACCATAGAATTATGAATTGTTAGCAATTTTGTTGTATTTCAACAGTGTACAAACTAGCGAGTAAAATGTTATTATGAAAATAAGGCCGTTTCTGAAAGAACATTTGGGGAATTTATACACCATGTACAAGATTAATAATAAACCCTCAGTTATTTACATCTGAAAGTATTAAGTATGTAAAAGTTTTATACAAAATAAATTAAGTAGATCATAATATACAGATCGATTTGATCAGGACCACCCATTTAACTGAATATGGTTTATTTTAGCGGCCACCTGATTCGATTTTTGCAAAATAACACGATCTTTCGAATTCTCACTTTGCAGCAACCATGTTCGCCAGTCGCTTAGTAAAAAATATAGACATGATCTTCTGAATCTCAAAGCTTCTGACATCAACATCGAAACCACAGCTTCTCTTTGTCCAATTGAACCAGTGAGTTCATTCATGCGGTCAAATAACAGTACTGCATCTACTAAGTGGAAAAGATTAACGGTTAGATAATGTAAACGAAAGAACTAAAAGTCCTTGTACATACAAACCTACCTGTATAAGGCTGTCGAACCAAATGAATTAATTCGAACATAATTCTCTTGTTTAATTTAAAACTTTCCAATGACGATGCATTTCTAGTATCAAAAGTATTTGTTTTTTCAATAATTGCCTGGTTGGCGAATCTTGAGTGGTTTATTAAGGAAGGGGAATTTTCGGCATATGTGGGAGATGAAATCGCGCTTGATATTTCTTCACTGAAAGTATTATCCGAAGATCTAGGCGATGACAGCGGTGAAGATTTCGGCGAGAAAAAACGCCAATTTAGGTGATTAATATACGGAGGTAAGGGACCTAAAAAAAGTTGACTGGCTGAATTCTATCTTACCTTTGACTCTTGCTTGAGGATTTTTGGTGGTTTGTGCAGACTTTTTTCGCCCAAAATTGAGTAAAACTGTATTCGGATTACAAGAATTAACTTGCAATGAATCCATCTCATCAACGAAACCTTCATCCGCGACGAAGGATGTAGACTTCCGTCGGAAAGGGTTTCCGAATGTATCCGACCGTTCAGGAGTTGGATTTATCTCCCTCAAAGGTGTTTCGACCTGCCGGGAATTTCTGTAGTTAACATAATCACCCATTAAGGCGACTGGTTGTTGATGAATCAAGTCAACTGCTCGGATGCTAGATGAACCATTTAGGAGGTTATCAAGTTCATGCCTCATTTTTCCCAAAACTACGCGCAACTTGGTTCGAGATATATTACAAGGTCGGATAGAATTTGAATGAAGACGCTTAGGTTTGATATACATCGATTTAAATTCACGTAGCGGCCACAAAGGTAAAGGCAATAAGGCTGATGGTAACTAAAACAAAACAAATAACTAAGGTATTTACTTACAGTAATAGTTGGGTTTGTGGGGCTGTCAGTTTGCGTCATACGCACGAAGTTATCGTATTCAATTTTAGCTGAATGCCGAAGCTTTTGCAAAGAATGTTTCAATTGATAAGGAAGTGCACGGTCAATAGCTTCAGGCTTAATCATCCCGACAAACCCTATTCGTTCAAACGCCTTCGCTAGGGGCTTTAAAAATCAGTAAAATCACAAGAAAAATACCATAAAGTAATATTTCGGTATGGTTCCTAGATAGTTCACAAACTGATGACCCCAGGCTTCCGTCATACGTTTATGATCACATATATCACCTTAAAATTTCATAACATATGCTGTGACTTACCAAGTAACTGAAGAAATACAGGATAATTGTAAGGAAGTATATGCAGATGTACTGACTGAAGATCACTTGATACTTTTAAATAACCAAACGGTGCATTCTGACTCTTTTTGATACCATAGCTGAAACACCGCCAAACCATATTTTGCTCCGACGAATTTAGAAATTCTTTCGTAAAATGTGATGGAGTCAACTCGTAACGGTCGACGGGGAAATACTCGGGCAACTCAGGTTCCACCACAGGAACTTTAGATACAAGGACTTCAGGATGTGCACTTCTAGGTGGCTTCAATGGAAATATAAAAATACTCTCGACATACCAACTCTGATGCTAGCATCTCATCATCAGGCCAAAATTGTTCTGGGATAGGCCAAGACGATGACCTTCCCATTAGCTTAACTGACATCAACTGCTTTACGAATTTTTCTTGGAGAGCCGCATCAACGCAGTCAGTAGACCTTCGTAATTTTAAAACCACGCCAGGTTGGCATTTTGTGACAAGAGAGTCAAGACATTGGTGGAGTTCCCGACCGTCGTAAACATCAAAACTTTCACCGCCAGTTTTCTCCGCAAGTCTTTTAAGCGGCGAGATAGTTTCTGATCTTATGGAGCTACCACCATGAATATTACTGACAAATGCGGGAAAACGAAGTACCAGAGAATACATGCGGTAATCCCAACGGAATGTTTCTTTTGTCAAAACATTCCCAAGAACGGCAGATTCTATGGAAGTTATAGATGCATCCTTTTTAGCATAATTAAAGAAATATGTCAAACTTACATTGAAAATTTGGCCATCAAAACTGTATGAGCCTATGCTATTAGTAATACATATTATTACAGAGGGTTCAATACATGATGGATAAATCCCCTTAAAAAATATCAACTGATAAATGTTAAATACCATCCCGTAATTTTCCAGTCCGAGTTGCAATCTATTTATATTTAACATCCGGAATGTCCTTTGAATACCAGTTGACAAATCAACTAAACCGTCTGGTTTTATATTATTTAAGGCAGAATGAAGTAACTGAAGATCAACATTCTGCTTCCAACCGGTAAGCTACAACAATTAAGAAGATTGTGATGACATACTTTGACATAACTTATGTCAGAATTCAAAGTAAGCACAAAATAACGATCTACTCTTGATTTGCTCATCCTTATCTACCAGTTAATGTTATTGAGATTATTCCATAAACAAACTTTGAAAAAAATCTCTATCGCAGATTTTGCTACGTCTAGTAACGTAGTGCCTTGAAAAGTGCGCTGGTTCATTGCTGCGCTGTTGTCAAGCAGAAAAACAATAACTGTCATCGCTAGCTACTCAAGGTCATACGGGCAAACCAGCCAATCACAAGGGCACAACTGCAATGCATACAGTGAAGCGCAGCACTCCTAATGCCATGATTGCCTGACACTGCATTATATATTATATCGAGCTGACAATATTGCATCCTGATTGGTCAAAATTTACAGCAGAGGCTCATATGGATATATTTGTTAAACACGCTGTTTTTTTAGCATAAGGTCTAATTTTCCTTAAATTATAGAATTTAATAGCAATAGATAATATGCGGAAACAATAGCTTTCGTCAGTAATACATATTTTCAGTTCTAATTTAATCAATAATGTATTCGGTAATTATTTCCGCTCTTTATGAGCCTCCAACAATCATATATCTATAGATGTGGGCCGTATGACTGAATATATTCATCTTTTACTAAAAAGACGAAGTGTAATAATTCGTGTTCTATAGTCGTTATTTTGATTTACATCTCTAATTCTCATCCATTACAGTATGTTGACCTACAATTATTTGGCAACATTTTGGAAACATCAGTTTACTTGCACCGTAGGAACAGCTACCGTGGTAATATCCGTTTTTTAGACTTATAAATTAATAACTCTCAGCTCAAAGAAAGAAAGTTAGTTTTTTTAATTTTCGATGGGTTTCAGAATTCGAGCATTAACGTTCATATTGATATTGGAGTTTTAATAGTAACATTTTCTTACTTCTAAACGTGTCTGCATTTGAAATAAAAGGAATCTTATCACGTTTCTTTTTCTGCATATAAGTGACAGTGGAGATTATATCTCTATTACGATGTATTGGTAAGTTATTTTCATTCATTGAATGATACCTGAGATCTTAAATTAATATGACCATGAATTTAAGCAAGCACTTTTCTCTGAGAATCCGAAAGTAGCCTTGTGATGAAGAATTCAAATATCGTTAACCATACGTAGCTACTTATAAGTAGTAGGAATGCTATTTGAAAAATCAACAGCCTGGCGTTTCCAGTCATTAGTTTTCATTGGTTGTCTACAGTCGTCCGTTTTTGGTAAGCATCTTTTGATTTTCATTGTTGAGTGTACAGACTTCCTTATTTGATATACCAGGTTGACCTACGATAAGGGAATGATTAAAAGTAGACTGAGTTTTATCTCATGACAGTGATATTTAATCTATACGTGCGTTTGTCAAAATGTGAATGAACACCTCCATAGAAAATGGACTCCAAGCATGTGAAGATCTTTAAATTCAAATTCACTTTATCCGAATTAAACAACCATTACATAAACCTGACTATGAATCATGGATTTTGAATTATTATATTAATCGATTTTATCTGTGGTAGTCTTTAAAATGTTTATAAGCCTTATAAGATACTTATATCTCCATATAAATCACATCACTTGTCTGAAAATTAAAGCTAAATAAACGAGAAGTGTTTAATCATTGATTCAAATATCATAAGTGTTTGAAATATGCGTACCTTTTTTTCTATATTCTATTCAAGTTCTTAATTATTCATTACACTAATTTTTCAATATAAGCAATCACATGAAAAAAAATTTCATCTATTTAAAAATGAATATCCTCTGTAAATTGATAGTTTCAAAAATAGATTTTGATTATCATAAATTATCAATGAAGTAAATAAAAATAATATTACAAGAAGTTACCACATCAGATCACTACAGTCAAAGTGAATAAACATTGTAAGATCATTAACCACTTATCAAAAACACTGAATGATGATTAGATTACTCTGTAGACATTTAACACTATTATGATAGTCTCTACTTACTCTTGTCATTCCAGGTTAGAGAGATGTAATGGTTGCAGAAAATGATATTTCGAGACCCTGTGTAGACAAACGATCAAGAAACTGCATAAAATCAATTTTACATAACAAATTTTCAGTTAATCGTATTCTTCCCACATGGTTTCAATTATATTATCACAGTTATCTTCTAAGTCGCTCTTAAATATAGTGGAACAATGAAGCAATCCTCAGGTTATATTTAAGATGATGTCTTTATGAACTAAAATAGCTGTAATATGTTACGTATGCCCGATAACTATTTATCTTCACGTACAATATTGGTTCGAGTAAAAGTAAATTAGCCCCCAAACGAAAACATGGCATGAGTCCATGAAATCTTTAGCTTCCGGACTGTGTTGCGTTAGTAGATGCATAGGATTTGGTTGGGGTTCATATGAAAATCGCAATCAGCGTTGAAAAGCTTTAAGTGACATGAATAAGAATCGGTCACAATAACTCAGATATATCCACTATTTTCAACAACTACGTTTTTAAATTTAATTGGCGTTGTTTGCTTGTATCTTCCCATTGTTGTTTAGGACTGCAGTTGATCAGTCTCTTGTTGGTATATGTGCATCTTGTGCGGATTGCCTCGATATTGCCTTAAGTCACAAACTTTATAAGCAAAGATTGCTAGCAGTGGAATCCAGGACGCTGGTTTTGTCCTATTTGAGACTCTTCAGCTGGATATGCCTGCATCCCAGAGTTGATGTTCACTCCAGGACTCAAACCCAGCACACCCCATTGCACAAGCAAGTGGCTATCAGGACTCAGTAGCTAAGTGGATAACGCGGTGGCGTTTGAAGAGAATGGTATCGGATCCGAGTCCCGGATTGAATATCAACTCTGGGATGCAGGCACATCCAGCTGACGAGTCCCAAATAGGAAGAAACGATCGTCCTGGATTGCATTGCTAGCCACTATTCATCTTTGCTTATGAAACACTACGTTTTTAGTTTCAACTCTGTCTAATAAATACCTTCTTTTCATTCTGTCTTTTCGAAACATATTTCCGATGTTTAGTCTTTCTAACTATCATTTATTTTACTAACAATTCAACCCATTTTTACTAATCTTGTTAATTTCATCTCTCTGTGCTGATGTGATATGAAAAAGTATGTTAACGCTAATCTTCCCAGACTCTACACCGGCTATTACTTGAATAGACAATAGCTATAAGTGACGGAAAATCCTTCCCTGTTAAGAATAATAATATACTAGTGAATATGTATTCTGTCGTATTGTCATTGTTATCCTACCTCTATAAATTACATTGTCAACCTTTTTGATTAATGTGCTTTGAAACTCTTCCGGCAATTCACCTCTGTATACATTCAGAAATTTGCATTGCGACGATAAGTATATTTTTTGAGAAAAAGCTGTTTGTTATGAAGAGAAAATTCGTGAAAATACAAATAGAAAGTACCTATTGAGGAAAGCTATTTTTCTATCGAGTGTGAAAATTATTAGCATTGATGTTTCTTTTGATGCTTCTTTTGATAATATTTATCATCTAACTTCTTGTTTACTTGTTTATACTTATATGCTTTCAGTAATTAAAAGATACAGGACACATTTTATTCAAACTTTAGGTTAGACATGAACACCGTTGGATCAATCAGTTCATGATCTCATTTACAAACGTAATGATCTCCACAAACCCATACTGATAATTAATTTTACATTCAACGAGACCTCAACATGTTCTGTAAGTGTTCAGATATCAAATTTATACACATTAGAATACCAATTTATAATGTTTAATCCTTATTCAAAGACAGTTGCTTATTCTCGGAACTTCGACTTTCCGTTGGAACTGTTCAGTTCTTTCTGTTTAATGTGTTCGAAATTCAAAGGAAGGAAGACGACAGATTTCCATTTCCTATCACTAGATTAAAATTTCATAGTGGATACTTTTTAATTTGCCTTCTAATACCCTTCTGAGTACTTAATTTATAAATAGAATTGATTTAGTAAATATTACTTACTTTTTCATTGAAAAACCTAATAGCTAGTTTCAGTGGATGACAGTAAATATACGTTATGACAGAATTTTGGTAATAGGATTCCAATGTAGTAACCTCATTGTAATTAGTTTCTGTTGCTCCATATCTCATGAGTGACTACTTCTGAAAATATCTTAAACAAGATAATACAACTAACCACTTTTAAAAACTTGAAATTAATTATTCTTGTTTTATTTTCATCTTGTTACATGTTTGATTAATAAATGATGTTTTCAAACAGGTATGAACTTGATCTCTAGCGTCTCTGAAAAATCATATTACAGTAATATCTTATGGATAATGTAGAAAATTATATGGATCTTATGTTTGGGTTTATCTGAACCTGTCTGATCTCAACACATCCATTATAAGGCAACCTGGCATCAATATTCTTTATGTAGTCAACTTTTTGAAGAGTACGTTTTTATGAATTACCTCAAACCAATATTAGCTAATTGTCGGTTGTTGTAATTCAAACTTTTTATCGTTAATTTTTGTAACAGCTAATAAAGTTGTTATGTTTAATTGTAAAAAATGAATTTCAGCACTTTAAACGTATTATTTAAACTTATTCTAAACAAAGAGAAGGCTATTTGTTTTATAATCATTTTCGCAGTGTTCTATTTTCAATACTTTTAACTATAAAGCATTCATTGTTTGTTCAAGTAACACTACCAGCATAAATTTAAACAAATCCACTAGTTAGATATTCTCTTAATATATTAAGAGGATTTATAATTATACTATGTAATTTATATGTGCTGATAAAGTACATCTTATGTATAAAAGAGAACATTTTCACTAAGATAATGAAATCTGTCCAAGTAACTCTCTTAAGGATCATCGTTAGCTTTTTGGATCATAGTGAGTCTTGAAACCTTATATGTATGTCTCGTCACATTTGGGTCTCATCGGTTGAGTGTACCCGTTTCCCAGTGTTCATTTTCACGCTACTTTGAATATAGCACTTCATTTACCTCCAGTCTACATGTTTATTTATAAACATTATACACAAAGGAGAAACGAAATAATTCAACTGATAATGACAAAACAATATGACATTATCAGAATGGGTTTTGTGGAGAGTTTTTAGAAATTTCACAGGTTAAAATCATGAGTCAGTTGAAGCTAGACCACCATTGAAAACCGTCCAGTGCTTCCAGGTTTTCAATGGTGGTCTAGCTTCAACTGACTCATGATTTCAACCTGTGAAATATGATAATAAATGAATGAAAAACGATCATTTTTAATAGTGAAACAGATAACCTGTACACTTTTTTGTGTATGATGATTCATTTTCCCCGTCTTTTCAATAAATCACTTCATCAACAGTGAATATTTTTAAATTATTGATTTTGTCCAGAAAGGGAATTCCATATTACTCAAAGATCGAATCGGTATAATTTGGGGTAAATTCTATTTAAAACATCTACTTACGTGTGTCTGTTGCCCCACGTGGAAAAGCATAGACCGTCTACTGCCATTCTCCATCCAAATCTGTTCTGGACTCGCCTTCCTACTTGCTTCCTGTTGCTATTCATCCTTTACATGTCTGCTTCCAATTACCGACACAATGTGTTCCTTGTTCTTCCAATTGTTCTTTTACCTTCAGGATTCCAAGTTAGCACTTGTTTCGTGATGCACTTCGATAATTTCCGTAGTGTATTTCCTATCCATATATTACATCTTTTACTTATCTCCTCTTCAGATGGAAACTGG